GGCGGGGGCGGCAGCAGCAGCAGCAGCAGCAGCAGCAGCAGCAGCAGCAGCAGCAGCAGCAGCGGCGGCAGCGGCAGCAGCAGCGGCGGCAGCAGCACCAGCGGCAGCAGCAGCAGCGGCAGCAGCACAGGAGCCGCGGCCTCACCAGCCAAAGATCCCCAGGACCAGCGTGAATATGCCCAGCTCCAGCCAGCGGAAGCTGCGATTCTCCACCAGCATCACCACCAGAACGTCCGCGGCTGAGGGGTGACGAATGGCCAGCAGCGCAGAGGGCACAAGGCAAACGTGAGGACCAGGCGCCCAGCCAAACGTCGCCGACCATTCGAGGCAACCACATGTGTTGTTGCACTGCTCCAGCCCACGCACATCATGCACAGCATGCTCAGCACGCACCAGTGATGAGGACGCCGGCCCACAGGGGCAGCCCGAACAGCAGCTTCAGCGCCACCGCCGACCCTATGACTTCCGCCAGGTCGCAGGCCACGATCGCCACCTCAGCCATCAGCCACAGCGGGATGCACATCCACCTGGGCATCCCAAAGGCGTGGGCGCGCACATTCCAATTCAGTAAAAACTCAACTGCCGGCTGCTGAACAATCGACGCTACGTGCTGCTGCGCGTGGCATCCTGCGGCTCCAGCCCTGCGTCTGCTGTCATCGGCAGGCGAGCGGTGCGCGCGCAGGGTTCAGGGCGCCGGGCGCGACGCACGCGGGCAGTGCGAGGGCGCCGCCCTGACCTGGGGTACGCGTCGCGGCAGGCCTGCGCGAGGTCGCGGCCCGAGGCGACCCCCAGCTTCAGCGACAGGTGCTGCAGGAACATGGCCGCCAGCGACGACAGCAGCACGACGCACAGCAGCGCGTAGCCGTAGCGCGCGCCGCCGGCGAGGCCGGTGGACCAGTTGCCGGGCTGCGGGGCGGGGCGCCGAAGGTGAGGGGACGGGCGGGCAGAGGCGGCGAGGTGGGCTCGACGGGCGCTGCTACTGCGTGAGCCCGTGCGAGCCAGCCCTGACTGCAAAATGCGGCACCTGGACTCCACGCAGCCGTCCGCAACTCGAATGTTCCTCTGCTTGGGCAGGCATGTGCACGCGCGTGCCTGCGCGGCGGCCAATTTCCCCCTGTTCAGAGGCGCCGCTGGGCGCGGCCGGGCGCTCACGTCCATGTAGCCGACCGACACCATCGCCCCGCAGCCCACAAACGCCAGCATCATCCGCCAGGGCTTAACCTTGTCGCCCGCGGGGACCTTGAGGGTCGCGTGCGCCTCTACAGGGCGGGGACGTGGACCGCGGCACCGCTCAGAGTCGGTGCGCCGCGGGACGGGCCGCTGCGGAGCTGAGTGCCTACTGCACAGCCCCGCACGACCGAGGTGCCTACGTCGCTACCTCGCGACAGCACAGTCAAAAGAGCGCGCAGTTGCGTAAGCTAGCGATCCGAGCCTTTAGCAACCCGTGTTGCGGAGGCAGCTCAGCGTCGGCGGCGCACCAGGGAGGGAGAGCGCGCGGCGCCCGCAGCGCCACCCAGGCTGCGCGTCGTCCGCGTCAAAGGGCAGCCCCGCCGCGGCGACGTCCACCAAAACCACACGCATGTCAGTGCCGTCGCCTGACATGCTCCCCGAGCTGGGGGCCCGCACGACCGCGGGCTGCTCGTGCATCGCGCCAGGCTCTGCCGAAGCCTCGGCTCCTGGGCGGGCCATGACTGGGTACAAACTGCCCTGTAGGACAGCAAAAAACCTCAGTCGGTGGCCCCAGGAGACGGTCTAACACGCGATGGCAGACGCCCCTAGGGCGTGTCGACCGTGTTGTTGAGGTGTGGAACGATGCGGATCTAATTCTTTCTATGCTCGCATTCCAGTATGACGTGCCCTAAACAGCAAAGCCTCAAGCACCCATGGGCGGAACCTGACTGAACCTCGAACTGAACCACTTCACAGCGCGTTGGCGGCCACTCGCGGCCGCATCGTGCGTCCGCATCGCGCGTCCGCTTGGTGTATCAGTGGTAAGCATCGAGCTTCCTTGTTCTGACGCTGAATTACGCTCAATTGCGCCTTTCAGCATCCTCCAGATTCAAAAGCGCTGGCGCTACATCACTCTGCAGATCTTGTACCGCCAGACGTTTGCGACGCCGACGTCGCACCACAGCGCCCAACCTATTCACGTACACCCCCCGTCTGTTTTGGCATCCCTCTGTCTCAGACAGAACCCGCAAGCCACGACTCCACCCACACTTTGCCAGCAGGGCGTGCACTTTTGCGGCCATCAGGCATTGCTTGGCGTTTGGGGCCAACGCTCGTCGTTCGTTGTGCCGTCCCAAGTCTTGCCTCTAATGTGCACCGTCCGGCAGCACAGCTGCCATTGGCAACAGCTGGGCCAGGCCACGCCCAACCTAGCGCGGCATGTCAGCACGCACAAACCAGAATTACACAGTAACCCAACAAAAGTCCTCCCACACCGCCACCGGCCTCAACCACATCCGCCCGCTGAGCACGCCAGCCGCAGCCCGTATGCAATACACCCCTCGCAGCAGGCGGCGCCGCCGGCCATGGAGGCATCACGAGCTCCCAGCCATCACGCGCAGCGCTGCCTCGGCCACGGCGGCGGCCGACGCGGGGTTCTGGCCTGTCACCAGGCCGCCATCCGTCTCGACGTGCACCCCCCATGCCGGGCCCCGTGTGAAGTGCGCCCCCGCCTCCGCCAGCCGCGCATCAAGGAGGTAGGGCACCTGGGGCCCAGACGCGCACGCACATGTACGTGAGCGGGCGTGTGTGCGTGCGCGTTGTGATGATGCGTGCGCGAGCGCGCTTCGTGGAGCGCGCTTCGTGGAAGCGAACGCGACGCGACTGCAGCTGCTATTCTACCACGCCGTCCTCCTATTCTCTCATCCTCTCAGCCCAAATGATGAGTTCCGCGCCCAGCCCCCCTGAAACAACACCGCCCCTGCCACGCATGCGCGGCCCTGAAAGCATGCATGCAAGCCGGCGCCCACCTTGCCGTCCTTGCCCACCGCCTTCTCCTCCTCTGTCGTGAACGAGGTGACCTTGCGGCCTGCCACCAGGGCCTTGCCGCTCTTGGGGTCCTTGGCGGACAGCAGGCCGGCCGGGCCGTGGCACACCGCGGCGACGACCTTGCCTGGCGGGCCGCGGCCAGACGGGGCGCGGTGGGCGGCGGTCACGCATGGACTGTGAGGGGTCGTCCAGCGAACCTGCGTCCCATCAAATTGCAGTTTGGCGGGCTCCCGAAATTGCAGGTTGCGGCTCCGTAAACCATCATCCCCCTCGCGTGCGTGAGGCGGGACGAGGCAGCAAAAGGCCCGCTCGCGCGTCCTCACCCGCGCCGAATGCCTCTGACAGCAGGCGGGCGAGGGTCTGATCCTCTGCCAGGTCAAACACTGGGCCGTGGCCGCCAGGCACTGCGCGCAGCGCGCGGCGGCACGCACGCGGGTGTCAGACTGCAGCCTTATTCGAGGCCGGCGCGCGTCGCCATCACGCACTTGAGTGCGAGCGGCCCGGCGAGGACAGCATACTCATGGGGCCGCCGGCGGTCAGGCAAGGAATTACCCGCGACAAAAAAGCGCTCGTACGAAGTCGCCCCGCAGGCGGCTCAACGAACACAAGAAAGCGCGGCAGGTAGGGGCACCGACGGCCCACAAAACGCTTGGCAGCATCGACCGCGCCGACTCACGGTATATGCAGTCGTAGCTGGACGCCTGCTTCACCGACGACAGCGGCACCGAGCTCTTGAGCTGCTGGCTTGCCTCAGCTGTTCCCCGGGAGTCAGGTCCAAATCGACGGAGGCAAGGGGGTTGGGGGTCGTGGGAGCGCACATTGGTGGGAAGGGGGCTGATCGAGGCTGCAGATTGCAGGGAAGCAGCGAGCTCCGTCCCCCGCCTGGCGAGCAACACACCCACAAGAGTGTGTGCACGCGCGAAAAGCCCCTCGACTGCGGCAGTTGCTGAGAAGCCTGCGCGCTCTGGCGTGTGCGCGTGCACGGGCACCGGCCGTGCGCGGCGCACGGTGCCGCCCCTGCGGCACCCCCCATGCCTGTTTCAGGTGTTGCACAAGCCCAATGCACTCATCATCACCAATTGCAACCGCACACGGCGCACCCACCGTCCCCCACGAAGCGGTGCGCCTCTGGCGTCATGGCCTCCTGCCCCTGGCTCGTAGGGTCTATGGGCACAGCCCCGCCCTTGGGGGATGCGATGGTGACATCATAGCCTGCGCAGCGCGGCGCAGCCGGCAAGCGGCATTCGGCGGGCGCGCGGCTTGGCCGGCGGCGGCTGCGGGATGCGCCCCGGGGGCCTGCGGCAGGAACGCCGGCCACGGCGCCGGCCACAGGGCGGCCCCCGGCGTCCATTTGAAGCTGTTGACCTGCCCTCTGCAGCAGGGGCTTGCAGCTTCCAAGCCAGCGCCTTGCAGTATAGAGCACTTTGCCCTGCTAATACACAGGTATGCAGCCCCCAGACCTCCCCTCGACCCCGCCTCACCCTGGGACTTAAACGTGTAAAACGGGTCTGCCAGCTCAGAAATCCTGTGAGGCGGGGCAGCACAGGCCGTGGCCGTCGAATTTTGCCGTTGCCAGTCCTCTGCCGTGCGCCTCGCGTCGCCCGCCCCGAGTCACTGCAGCTGCATGCGGCGGCTGCGCGCGGGGCGACGCTGGGCTGGGCCGGGGCGTGAGGGGGCGAGCGGGCGCCCACCAGAGGCCGGTGGGTGTGCCGTCTGAAAACTTGTCGCAGCTCGTGGCGACCATCAGGACCTGAGGGCAAGGGGGGTGAGCAGGTGTGAGTGGGACGGCAGTTGAGGAGCAGACGGTGGCGCGTGAAGACGTGTGAACGCGCTTTCTGTGCGCTCCGCCCCGCCTTGACTGTCAGCCCACGCGATCACGAGCTTGCTGTTGCCTGGTCTTGTTGGAGCACAATAGTGCCGCGTATGTGCCGGTCTGGCGGTGGTTCGCTGTCTGATGCTGCTGCTGACAAGCAGGCCCCGGCCGTCCTGTGAGGCGCCGCAACCCAACGTGCCGCCCGCGCACTCAGCTGCACACGCCCACTGCGCCGCTGCGTGCCGCCCACCTGTCCTTTCACAACGGCCGCCTTGCTGATCTCGCTCTCGTGGACTGCCTTTGTGCTCATGGCTGTGATCTTGATCAAGGCGCAGGTGGGTGCTCAGCGCGACGCGCTGCTGCTGTCTGACAATTGGTGAAGCAGCGGGCACAGAAAAATCGTCGTTGGACCGGGCAGAGTGGTGACCGCGTGTCGCGAGCTGCAATCTACAATAGATTGAAATCAGGGAACTCGCTTGGAACTTGCTGCTGGGGAACTTGCTCCGCAGAGCGCGCTGTCATGGCTTCCAAAGGCTACTGCCCGTCACCCCGGCTGATGCGCGCTGATGTCACACTACCCTGCAACGACGCCCTTGACTGGTGCATAAGGTGTCATAATGCTAAGCAAAGGTTATATGGTACCGTCACAGAGCATCGCGCCGCTTTGCAGACGGTGGGTGATTTTTTTTTGGGTCCGAGCGCCGAGGGGGGCAGGTTCAGGGTCGGCGCCGTGTCGGTATGTTGAAAGCGTGTTGGTGCCAAGACTGAACAAGATGATGTCTTTCAGCAGGCAGCTGCTGAAAGACATCATCCACAGCTTAGGCCTCTTGCACATGTTGACAGCGCCGGCACTGCACACAGGGCAAAACACCCGACGACACCACTAGCACCTCAGCACCGGCACTCAGCGACAGGCTCCGCGGTCGTCATGTGTTGTCCTGCTTGTGTACGCTATCTTTAATATGTTCACCTCAATTCACGTGCATCCAACATTGCATACTTCCACCAAGGCCTAGCGTGCTGTCGAGTTCTGGGCGATGCTGCCTGACTTGTGAGACCGGCGAGGCTCACAGCACCCATGTTCGGGCTGTTCAAGAAGAAACAGGAGGTGCGTACGCCCTGCAGAGATAGAGCACCTTCGCGGGCTGCGCGGGCCTGCGGTTGATGCTGCAGCGTTCTGCACTGCTGCTGCAGGTGGGCGAGGATGGGAAGCCCGTGGTCTACACAAAGGCCAAGCTTGGCGAGCAGAACAAGATGTATTACAATGAGGAGGTACTGGGCGCGGAGGACCTCGGGAGGAGGCAATCATTCGCAGCAACCGCCTTCGAGGGCCTAGTAGCCAGTCCTGATCTCATACAAAGCTGCGTGGCGCCAGTTGGAACGCCTTGTAGTGCCCTGTCTGATGCCATGCCGCGAGTGCGCCTGGCGTGGCGCTGAAGCGCGCGCGCGCCACGCCCGCTGCTGCTGTACAGCTCAAGATGTGGGTCGAGAAGGGCAAAGAGGAGGAGGCCAAGGCAGAGAGAGACAAGTTGACGGCGCCACCGCCCAGAGCCGTGGTTGCTGCCGCGGCCCCTGTAGCCAAGACGGTCGCAGCCGTGCCCGACGGCGGCACCACTGACGGCGGCACCAGCAACGGCGGCGCCCCGCCTCCCGCTGGGGCCCCGGTTGTTGCCAGGTGCGCTCGCACACCTGATTTGCCGCAACGACTCATCACACCTTTGCATGCGACCACGGCGCAACTACACCGCTTCATGCACGCGGAGCAGAGCGCTGCGGCGCCAGCCTGCAGCAGCCTCAGTTGGTTCGACTGGGTCGGCCAAGCATGGGGTCGACAAGTTGAAGAGCGACTCTCGTTCGTCGTGCCCCTCTCCTGCGCCCCTCTGCTGCCGCAGGCCCAAGGGCATTAAGGGCAGATACGTGCAGCTGGAGTCTCTGTCGGGCGGCGCCGCCCCCGCAGCCAGCAACGGCGCGCCCGCGGCCGGCAAGCCCCCGAGCCTCCTGCCGGGCGCGGGCGGCTTCCTGCCTGGGGCGCCCGCCCCCGCGGGCGGCGCCGCGGCCGCGCCGGCGCCGGCGCTGTTCTTGCCGGGCGCCGCAGCGGCAGGCA